TCAACCTACCATGCATTGCTGTGGGACTGCTACCACCCCAATTTTGTTGCTGGGAAATATGTGTTGTCCTGAGGAGTGAGGGGGGCTTTTCTCCTCAGGCCTGTGTAGGGTCAGGGTCTTTTTTATGTGTTTCAGTCCTTGTTTTGCAAGTGGACCACACTAATCACCTCTATTAGTTCACAGTGTTAGTTATACCCTAATTACTTGGATTTGTTAGGCCTCTTTTATGACTAGAACCATGCCAGTGTAACATTAAAACAAATTGTGTGTTGCTAGAACTAAAACAAGTTAAAAGCACAAGACAAACCACAGGAACCTGATGCTTGTCTACAGCTGACTGTAGGTGCAGGACAAGCTGGACTATAGTAATCTGATCCTGGAGTAAGTTGCTGGCATGGAAATGTTCTGAAATGTTTTTACCAATACAACTAAATTATGTTTGAGATCAGGAAAATTATTCTTATAGTGTCTGAGACCTGTTACTAACACATGGCAACACCAGCATGGCAAGGCAGCAGGTCTACAGTCCTGCCAGACCACACTGGAGAAAAGAAATTCATTGAAAGACAGCAGAAGAGTGGGCAAGGACAATGGCAGACCTGTCCTTTCCATGTGACCATGACAAGAGTGTCCTGTTTACCTGTTTACCTGCCCTGTGATGAGCTCACCTTCTCCCTTGGGGCCTGGGCTCCCTCTGGCCATGCAGGGCAGCAGAAAGCTGCTCCTCTGGCAATGCAGGGGGCAAAGGCTGCTGTGCTGTGCCAGGCTCAGATTGGATCCAGGAAGGAATGCTTGGCTCCTCCCCTGGGCGGAGCATCTCCCCATGGGATGGTGGGATTGGATCAGCCCTGCAGGGACACTCAGTGGCCATGGACAGCAGAGATCTCCTGGAGGGAGGGTTGGGTGTGGGAGAGATAAAGAAAAAACTGCCCAATGAACAGCAGAGAACTGCCCCAGCTCTGACAGATGGTGATAGAACACACACCCTCAATTCCAACCTAAGACAACAGGAGATTGCTCCAGCTCCCACCCTGTGAAGGGGTGTGGGCCAGGCACAGCAATGACTGGTAGATGCTCCTCCAGCACAAACCATGTTTTGCAGTCCTTGGGAGACAGTCATGCTGAAGCTTAAGCTTGGGGCTGATATTTTAATCTGCTCCCAAAATGTTTTGGTCTGGATGCAAGCCAGAGACAGAGTTCTAACCAGCCAGGGCTTGGAGCCAGGTTTATGTGCCACCATCCCAAGCACTCTTTTGGAGGGGGCAAAGATCCCACAGACTGTTCAGGGGCTCTAAGGGGAAACAGATGGAGGACAGTGCCTTCAGAATATTTCACCTGCATCTCTCCTTGCCAGGTAAATGATGCCATGGGGAATGAATGGCCCTGGATCTACTTTGTCAGCCTTATCTTGCTTGGCTCCTTCTTTGTGCTCAACCTGGTGCTGGGGGTGCTCAGTGGGTAAGTGCCACCCTATCCTTTCTGCCAGCAGAGGAGTTTTAACAGGTTTGAACTATACAAGAAAAAAGCCTGGAAAAAAGCCTGGAAAAGTTCTGTTCTTTTCCCTCTCTCATTCTTCACTTTTTTTTTCTTTTCTTTTTTTTTTGGGGGGGGGGAGTATGTTTGTTTTGTTTTGTTCATTTTTGTTTGGTTTTTTGTTGTTGTTGTTGTTGGGTTTTTTTTATGTTTAGAAGCACTGATCTGTGGGTTACTTTTTGTGTTAGTGTCCATGGCTTTCCAAGACTTTAGCCCAATTTTCAACACATCAATCCTTTTCCTGAGGCACAAGCAGAGCACATGGGCTGTGGTGTCTCCTGCCTGCTCACAGAGCAGATGGAGCTGAGCAGGGGCAGGCACCCCATGGCTGTGGGTTTGGACACTCCTCACCTCCAGTGCCTACTGCTGTGAGCACACACAGTTTTGTCATGGCCAGCCCAAGGAGAAATCTCTGATGAGTGCAAGGCATCCAAGGGAAGGATTGTTAGTCTAATTACTGCTTCAGCAGTCTNGGCAGAAAGTGTGCTCTGGCCAGCATCAGGCCTGGGAGTGTGGCTGAGGGGTGCTGGAAACAGGACCCAGCTGGGTGTGAGGGGTGCTGAAAGGGCCCTTTAACTGGTTTGAGCTGTGCAAGAAAAAAGCCTGGAAAAGTTATGTTCTTTTCCCTCTCTCATTCTTCACCCCTTTTTTTTTTGTTGATTTTGCATGCTTGGACGCACTGATCTGTGAGTTATTTTTATGATAGTGTCCATGGATTTCTGAGGTTTTAGCCCAGCTCCCAACACATCAATCCTTTCCCTGAGGCACTAACAGCTGTGAGCAAGCCCAGCCCTGGAGCACATGGGCTGTGGTGCCTTCTTCCTGCACACAGAGCAGATGGAGCTGAGCAGGTCTCGGGTTTGTTTGTTGCTGAAATGGCTCCTGAGGTATTAAAAAGTCTTTTTTCTTAGCCCCACGCTCGAAGAAGAAGTCGGGATTCCTAGGCTCTGGTTTTCAAGGTTGTTTATTTTCTCTTATCTATTCCATTCTTTTTCTGACCTGCTAAGATCTGTCCAGATCTGAGGACAGATCTGTCCAGCAGGTTGGTCTGTGGCACAGTCCCTGCCCTTGGGGTGGTATTATCTTTTTATACTAAAAGCTACGTGTACTTTATTTACCATAATTTTCCAATACCCATCACCTATGTTCGACAGTGAGCTTCTATCTTAAACCAATGTGAAAGTGTCACCATCCCAGCAGAAGATGAAGGACAAGAAGAAGAAGAAGGAGAAAGACAGGATACACCCAGATTCCTCCATCTTGCTTCTTGAACCATTCTAAATCCCCAAAATTCTACTTTTTCACCTGTGATAAATTCACTATCATTCTATTCAAACCTTTGTGGCTTGTAACTCTTCACACAAAGTTGTGTGGGTTAAAATGGGTTAAAATGGAAGGCACAGGTGTTTTTGACTCTGTGTCAAAGTCTCTGAGCTTCTGGGCAG